AATTGGCAATCCCCCCACGGAGCCGCAAGTTCTCGTCTGGATCCGCATGGAAATTCACCCTGGTGGACCTCCCAGGATCCCACGGAGGTGCAAGTTGGCAGCCCCCAGGGAAAGGCGATATCTCGTCAGTGTGCGTATGACCCCGCTCTGGAAGACCTCCCACCCACAAAGTGACGACAATTGGCAAAACTCAGGGAGCAGCGGGGTCTCGTATGGGTACGCGTCTGACCCCAACCCGCTGGACCTCCCAGGAGCCCGAACGCGGCAAGAGTTGCGCAGTTGGTAGCACCCAGGTAGTAGCAGTTGACAGGGCAGGGGGGTCAAGGCACGAGGACGGATGGGGAGGAGGGGCGAGACGGAGACTCTGGGCACGCAGTGCCTCACGCAAAACGGGGACCCGACTCGAGGCAGTATCGGGGAAGCAGCCAGATGTGTCAACGTCATCGCTCCTCGATCATTCCCCCCCCCTTCTTCGGACGACGACGACAGGTGAACACGACGACGACGACGACGACGGCGACGACGACGACGACGACGGCGACGACGGCGACGACGGCGACGACGGCGGCGACGACGACGACGGCGACCTGCCCTGCTCTGCCCAGGAGGCGCGCGCCGTGCAGCCGAGGCCGTGGAACCTGCAGCACCACTCCTGCTTGGCCAGCGACCAGCCCACCGCGGCGTCCTGCCGAGGGGAGGAGGGAGGAGGAGGAGGAGGAGGAGGAGGATGAGGAGGAGGGGGAGGATGAGGAGGAGGAGGAATAATAGGAACAGGGATAGGAATAGGAATGGAGGAGGAATAATAGGAACAGGGATAGGAATAGGAATAGGAATAGGAATAGGAATAGGAGGAGGAGGAGGAGGAGGAGGAGGAGGAGGAGGAGAAGGGCGCCGACCAACCAGCACCGCGGGAGCTGTGCTCCCGGGCCCCGTGGAGGCCCCACCGCATCGACTGTACCTCGAGGCTGGCGTCGAACCCGACGGGTCCCCCCAGGGGGGGGGGAAGGACTACAGTCAGGTCGGGCACGTCCCGCTACAGGCGGATTTTGGGCGAAACATTAGACATAGTCAAAAAGTACCACCCAAATGCTTAAAACTAGTGAGAAAAAATCGTCCCCAGACTATTGTTTTGGACTCCTTTCGAACATTCCTCCTGCAGGGGGACAGGCCCGACTGAAGACTACAGCTCTCCGAGTCGCGGCTGGCCCGATGCATCGACTGTACCTCGAGGCTGGCGTCGAACCCGATGGGTACCCCCAGGGGGGGGGAGGACTTACCAGCCTGGAACATATCCCTATCCCTAAGCTGGGCATCGCCTCATCACAGTGCCAATCTTAGGAATTCCCTTAGTTTCTCAGGGCGCATCCCTAAGATTGTCATCGCCTTTTGGCGTGTCAATCTTAGGGATAGGGATAGGTTCGAGGCTGGTGAAGGCCTGCAACTCTCCGAGTCGTGGCTGGCCTGCGCCGTGGTCGGCCGCCGCTCGCACGGGCGTCTCGCCGTCTGCCCGGAGGCCTCTCCGGGCGCGCGGGGGGGTCTCGCCGCCACGCCCAGCGTGGCTCGAGACACGGGCCGTGGTCTCGACCCGGGGAGCTTGGGAGGGATTCGCGTCGGGGATCGGCTACAGATTCGAAGGGGGGGTAGAATTTAAGTCGGGCGTGTCCCCCCTACAGGGGGATCTTGGGCGACACATAGAAAAATACTCAAGCAATACCCCCCAAATGGGCAAACATAGTCAACAAATCGTTCCCAGACTATTTTTCGATTCTTTTTGAGTATTCCTCCTGTAGAAGGACAGGCCCGACGCAAGAATGGTAAATCAATTCTGTAGTCAATCCCCCACTCGAAGGATCCGGGGCTCGTTTCCGAATGCGCTCTGATCGGTCGCCTCCGTCCGTTGCCGCCGCGGTCGTCGGCAGCCGGCACTTCGAGGCGGCTCCAGCTGTGGCGGCGAGGATCCGCAGATGCCCACAACAAGGACGCCTTAGCACAACATCTGATCTTCGACCCCAAAAAATCGGGTCGGGCGAAAGGGGGGATAGCAAAAGGGGGGGTTGAGAATCAGCTCACGTAGCTGATCTTCCCGGCGCCTCCCGGCGCCGGAGGCGGCCAGGTCTCGAGGAAGGGGCCCCTCGGTGAGGCCGAAACCAGCTGCATGCAGCAAATTTCGTACCCCCCCTTTTCCCATTCCCCCCCTTTCGCCCGGCCCGAAAAATGCTCCTCCTCCTGCGTTTCCCCAGGCCTCCGGCGTCGTGCTCTCGAAGGGGATCTCGGCTGCACGCCAGGGAGGCGCCCCGGGGCCGCGGCTCGGGCCGAGTCCGAGCGTGCACGCCAGTGCCAAGGGGGGGGGGGGGGGCATGCTAGCCATCGCCTGGACGTGCACTCCCCGTGCATGTTTCGGCTCCGTGCTCTTGTTTTCGGCAGGATGGCCCAAGGATGCTCCTCGATGGTCCTCGCCCTCGCCCTCGCTCGGACGTCCATTCCCTGTGTTTTTTGGTTTTGTGCGTGGTTTTTTTCGCCAGATGATCAAGGATGCTCCTCGATGGTCCTCACCGAGGGAAACATGCACACGTCCGAGCGATGCCAAGCGCCGAGGAAAACATGCACACGTCCGAGCGACGTCGAGTACGGGTCCGCACCAAGAAGGCCACACTGGCGAGTGCCACTCTTACGCGCGCGCAGCCTTATGTCGGCAAGAATACCCCAAACATCAATCACAGTCAACAAATACTAGAGAAACCGTCCCCAGGCTACTTTTGGGACTATTCTTGAATCTTCCTCCTGTAGAGGGACATGCTCGACTTGAGCGTAGTCCGAGTGCGCTGGCCCTGCAGCTTCCGAGCCCTTCCCGCGGGGAAGCTCTTCGCCGCGGATCGTCCTCCCTCGTGCCCGACAGGCGGCCTCCGGCTGCCTGTCTCCGAGAACCCTCTCGCTACCGCCTCCCCCTCGCAGCCTCCCTCGCCATCGCCACCGCCGCCGTCGTGGTCAGGGTCGTCGTTGTCGTCATCGTCGCCGAGGCCGTCGTCGTCGTCGTCGTCGTCGTCGTCGTCGTCGTCGTCGTCGTCGTCGTCCTCGTCGCAGTCGCAGTTGCAGTCGCCGATGCAGTCGCAGTCGTCGTCGTCGTCGTCGTCGTTTTCCCGTTCCCCTTCCCCTTCCCCGTCCCCTTCGCCACTTGTAGCATCGTAGAGTCTCCTCCGCATCAGTTGGGCAGCCTGCAGTCTTAGCCACCCTGACGTGGTTGGGGCCGTCGTCGCCTTCCCCTTCCCCGTCCCCTTCGCCACTGAGCATCGTGGCAATCCCCATCGCCTGGACACGAGGACGTTATTTTTTCCGTCGGCCCGGTCTTTTCGGCCGACCAAGCGGCGTCCTCCCGAGCGTCGACGGAAACGAGCTACGACGCTGGTCGAAAAGAAGGCGAGGGTTCACCCCGGCCCCAGTCTTCCCATGCATGAGCGGAGCGCAGAAGGCGAAGGTTCACCCCGGCCCCAGTCTTCCCGGCGCTCGAGCAACGCCGCCATCTCCGATGCCACGACGGTCGCCACCACCTCCCTTGACACGCCGACGCCCAGACCCACGCAGGGGCGCGCCCCAGCCAGAGCTTCGAGGCGAATGCAACCGCGGCGGCGGGGTTGCCACAGGAGCCCCGAGAGCGCCCAACAACTTTCAGATCAACGTCGTCGTCGTCGTCGTCGTCGTCGCTGTCGTCGATCTTCGGCCGGAATCCGCTCAAGACTGGTCCCAAGGCCCCTGCCGGAATCCATCCTGGCCAAGTGTTATGTTATTCCCATCCTGCTTAAGGACCACATCCCGGAAACAAATTCGAGCACCCAGAAAAAAGTGTCAAAAGAGTGTCGAACTAGTGTCGAAACAGTGTCGGGCGAGTGTCTCCCCGGGCCCGACACGCGAAAACCTTGAGTTTTTGGGTACTTTTTCCTGGCGCTCGAAATCTGAAGTAGGTTGGAACATCACAAGCCAAGTGCCGACCCCAGATGCGGTCCCGACGGCCCTGGGTCCCCGAAAGGGGGCCCCCTGGGCATGGCGAGATCGCACCCTCGAACCTCAGTTCTCTGAACCTCGGACGCTCGATACCGGTGCCGCGGCAGATCCTCCTCCTCCTCTTCCGCCTCAGTCCGTAGGCCCTTGCCTCCTGCCTCGCCCTTTGAATCGCTTGCTCCTTCTTCTTTTTCTTCCTCTTCTCCTCCTCCTCCTCCTCCTCCTTCTTCTTCTTCTCATTCTTCGCCCTCTGCCTCGCCTCCTGAATCGTCTGCTTCTTCCTCCTCCTCCTCCTCCTGCTCCTCGTCGATCCCTGAGCCCGAGGGGCAATCCCTTGCAACAAAAACGTCACCTCTCTCGGAGGTCGGCGCGGACTGCCCGGGCCGGCGCCGGAAGCTCCCGTTGCCTCTCCGGCGTGCGGAGCGCGCCGGCGGCAGGGGGGGGTGAAGGGGCCCCAGGACGCACAAAGAAATACACACAAGCAAAACAGATTCCCCATATTCTCCCATCTGTTTGGGGTTTTCGTCTTCCCCCTCGCTTCCCATATTTTCCAATATTTTCCTGGGAGTCGACGATCAATTGTGCCTGTGTGTTTCTTTCCCTCCTGGGGGGGTTCAGCACCGACTCGACCAAGGACCCCGCGCGGACTTCCGAGCACTGGCATTTAGGTCTGGCGTGTCCTCCTACAGGCTGATTTTGGAAGAAACTGTACAACATGTCAGAAAATGGCAGAACAAAATGACCACACATTCTTTTGTTTGAATATTTTAAAGTATTCCTCAACATGCCCGGCTTAGGATTGTGCTCATGCCGCCTCTCTTGTTCGAGAAGCTCGATCCCAACTCTTATTCATGAGCCGTGATCCCTGCGAATCCTTCTCCTCTTCCTCCTCCCTCTGCGCGGATCCCCACCCGCACTCTCGATCCTTCTCCGTCGCCTTCCCCCTCGCTTTATCATGCGCCTTCTTGCTCCTCCGCCTCTCCCTACCTCGATCCCTCGATCTTGGTATTGAAGAAACGGGTCCTCAGGGGAACGGGTCCTGGATGCCGGGGCTTTTCCCAGCTAGAAATTATTATTTCCTAGTGTTTCTCTGGCAGACCCAGGGCCCGTGGAAAGCCCAAAGGGGCAAAACACAAGACACATTTCCCTCAGGATCCTCGGCGACGATCGAACATCACTCGAACATGTTCCCCCATGCCTTCCTGGTGGTATCGGTGCTCACGTTGTTTTAGTAGCTTCAGCTCTCCTAGTCCTATCGCTCCCCTCCTCCTCGATCCTGGGACCTCGATCCTCATTCTTATTACTATCATTCCCGCTACTCCTCCTCTATCCTCTATCCTCAAACCTTGTTTTGAGTCGCCCGATTCGGCGGTTGAATGGGCCAGAGGGCTGCGGTGAAGAAGCTGGCCAACGCTGTGAGCTTTGGCCCATCCCACGCGAAGATTGGGCCTGGTCTGGCCCAACCGCGAAGCGGCGATTGAACCTGGATCCCCTCCGATGCGATCAACACTTTTCCCCATGACCTTGAGGAGGAGGAGGAAGAGGAGGAGGAGGAGGAGGAGGAGAAGGAGGAGATGGAGGAGGAGGAGGAGGAGCCCCGACCCCACGAGCGGCCAGACTGGCGGCATTGACGTACTTCTGGCCTCCGGGGCCACGCCTGCTTTCGGCATCCGCACCCTGCCTGCTTCCCCTGGCGCCCAGGAGTCGCAAGCAGCAGCAGGGGTATGGTAGAGGCCTCCCACATGGGTCACGGCACGTGGGGTCGGAGGATCGCGCCACATCGACGATGCATCGGCGATGCACCGTCGACGTCGACGGTGCATCGGCGACGTTGACGTGAAGCAGAACGGGATCGATGCGGAGCGGGCGGTCGACCCCATCTGCTCGGACCCCATCTGCAAGGGCCTCGATGTGGATTGAGTGTCGCTCGTCCCAACCATCGTAAACTCACAATGATCGCACACTTGCAGTTGGAGTCGGAACCGAGTATTCTGTCAAGTAGAACGCTGGCTCAGTATTCTGTCAAACAAAACGCTGGCTCACCCCTTTCCTGAAAATCACCAGCTTCGCGCCGCAGTGCTGCAGTGACGGGTGGGCCGATGAAACGTGCAAGAGAAGCACCAGAGAGACCGTGGGAGATGGGAGACACAATGGGAGTCCGACCACAAGAAACCATGCACAAGAAACCCAATCCTGAGACCCCCGGACTTTCCTTGATTTCTGGTGTGGGAGCGTCACGCTTCCCATAGCAAAACCAGCGAAACGCAAGGCACCCTGGAGGCAAGCAAGGTGTTTCTTGGCATGGGCCCCCACTATATCTCAATCGTGCTGCGCCCTGCGTCGGGAGCCCTCCCAAGCGCGGGGGGCGGGCTCCTCGGCGCTCTGCGCCCGGTCGCAGTGGAACGGCGCCGACACGGCGCTCGACGCCTGCCGCGTGCCGCGCTGAGAGGGGGGGGATCCGCGGCCCAGCGCCCCTCCCGAAGCCTCGGCGGCGCGCGCATTCGTGGCCGGGCTTCGCCAGGTGCGTCGCCACAGCTGGGCTCGTTCCGAGCTCCTGGGCAAAACGCGCAGCAGGAGGACGGGGAGGAGGAGGAGGACCATCGCACAGCTTGGTGAGTTCGAGCTCGCGACGCACCCCGCGCCGAGACAACAGACGACTTGCCGAGTCTGAATCCGCACAGCCCTCTTGGGGTCTTTACTCCTCGGGCGAAGGGCTGGGAGCTGCGGCTGCCGCCAAAGCTTGGCGGTAAAACGGTTCGATAGGTACTGGCGGGCGGAGAACCTGGCAAGCTCGAGGATCGATCTTCGGGTGGGCCAGCACATTCGCTCTAACCAGCTGTGTACTGGCGTTGTTGGACTGCGGTGCTCGAAAGCACTCGCGGAACAACAAGCCCCTGGTTCCCGTTTCGGAGTACGAACCACAATCGAAACACAAAATGACCGTGGCCGAGTTGAGCAGGTACTCAAACATGAAAAAACGATGACCCCTGGGTTTTTGCGCCAGCGAGGCCAGGCCAGCACAATATCTAGCAGCAGAACGGCACAGCGTACAGAAGTGACGGCCATCGATAAACTCCCACCGATAGGTTTTTCCAGCTTCCTCAGGGACGGGAAGAGACGGCGGAGGAGGCCTCGGAGGAAGAGGGACGGCCCCTGGGTCCCAGGCGTAGGCAGCGGGGGCAGCTCCCATCGGTGGGTGTCTACTCCGCGGCTTAGCTAGGGCCTTCTTCCCAGGGCGCGGGGCCAACGCGGGCCACATGGGTAGACTCCTCGCGGCAAAGAACAGGAAACGGCAAAGCAAGTTTTCATCGTACTTGGCCAACTCGAGCTCGGCCTCGGAAGGGCTGCACAACTTCATGGCAGCTATCTTGGCCGCTTTGTCTGCCGCGCCATTGCCTTCAGCATGGTCGAAGTCTTCCTCATCGATAAAAAGCACGGCTCAATTTCTGGTGGCCTTTGACTTTTTAAAAGGGGACAATTCTCGGGCGGCACGGCAAATTTGCCCATCAAAACCTTGAAACCTGCATGCACGTTCCTCCTGGGGATGGTGATGCAGCTGGACCGCTCGTGGACTCGCTATACTAATTGGAGGAGGAGGAAAAGGAGGAGGAGGTGGAGGAGGAGGAGGAGGAGGAGAGGCGAAGAGGAGGAGGAGGATATGGGGGAGGATGAGGAGCAAAAGGACAAGCAAGGAAGAAGAGGACGGCTTTTCTCGGTGGCGATATGGCACGTCAGTTCGTGCGTGATGCAACTGGCTAAATAACGAGCGGCGATATTCAGCTGGCGGACGACCGGCTCGTAATTTCTGGCATGGCACTCTAGCAGGAGGTCATCTATGCACATTGCGAGTCTGATGTGGCTGTGTGCGCTTGTCCATTGACCGAAGGAAACGAGAACATACATTTGAACTGGATACATGACCAACCCGCACTCAGCAATAATGCTCCTCCACGCTTTACGGACGCTGACCCACAAATTTTGACAAACAACAAATCGAACTGCCCTACTGAACGAACAAGACGCGGAGCAAACAACACGGAAAACCTGCGGCAGCGGCGCGCTTGGCAAAGCAATATCTGTCGACATGTTCGTAGTAGTTAGGACGGTCCCAAAGAACTTGGGCGGAATGATGGGGGTAGTCCTGGCACGTGGAATATCCACACTCCAAAGAAGGTATGCACGAGCTCCACAATATAATGCCCTGCCTGGTGTGTTACTGTGGCTGTCTGTGGTGAAGCTCCCACTCGCGGGCCGCCGACAGTCGCAGTCGGGCCTAGACGCGATAGGGAGCAGGTGACGTGCCAATCGACCTGAACGTTCGCCGCGATTGAACTGCATCCTGTTATTTGATCTTGAACATGAGGGTAGATCTGGCACCTTGAAGCTGCGATGGCATGTGACCTATCTGCTCGATAAGCTCGATTATCCTGCAAACTAGGCTTGCTTGGTCGTCGTCGGACGAGGCGAAATGGCGCGGGCGCGCTCCATCCCAGGTAGCAGCCGTACTGCGACGGAAACGTCTTGACACCTTACGCAAACGGGTAGGGGAAACGGGTCCACGCGCCATTCTGTCGCCGGTAGGGGGGACCCATTGGTAGGGAGCCCACAAAGGACGTACGCGACCAGCTATGTGCATGAACGCGGCCCCTCGATTCGCGAGACCGGCCGCGTTATACGAACATTTGTGCAAGGCGTGCTCTCGAAACCAGCGTGGATTCATGTACATGTACGTCCGTCTTTCGCTCCTGACTTGGGGGGGAGTCGTCAGGAGGCACGTCCCAAATCTTGGCGAGACGGTCGCCTCAACCTGAAGGATGTGCTGCGGGCGCCCAGGAAAGCGCTGGCGATGCATGACAGAAACAGGCTGCCAGGCTTCGAGCTTCTTCGTCCACCTGGGTGCCCATCCCATACAGTGAAAACGAATAGTAAGGACGGGTGATAAGGACGCAAGACCCTTGGAGGCCGAAGTTGGGTCTTTTAGGGCGGCGGGCGTCCTTACTAGGCGCGTTGACTGTACCTCCTTTCATAAAAAGACTGCGCCCAGTCCCTCCATTCTTTCCTGTCCTTACTGCGCTCGGCGGCGCGAGGACAGGAGGAGAAGGAGGGGGAGGGCGAGGAGGAGGAGGAGGAAGAGGAGGAACAGGAGGAGGAGGAAGAGGAGGAGGAGGAGGAGGAGGAGGAGGAGGAGAAGGGCCCTTCTGAAGTCTCCCTGGAAAGCTAGGAAGGGGGGGAGGAGGGGGGGGGAGTTCGCCGTAACTCACGGGAGTCTCCCGTGCCATCTTGTTGGCTCTTACGAGCCAGCGCCATCCGACGCTCATCGACCATCATCGACGCTCATCGACTCTTAACCGACGCTGATCGATGCTGAATTGGCGCATTCTCCCGGATCGATGCTAAATCGACAAAGGTCGACGCTGATCGATGCTAAATCGACGCTGGATCCTCAACCCTCGCCGCCCAGGAGCAATTCGGAACGTGCGTCGGACTGGACCGCCATCGAATCGCATCGGCTGCGCAACGACGCGATGCAAACGTTGGGACGCATTCGGATCGTCGGAATAAGTTAGGGGGCGAACAAACCTACCTCGCTTTTGACCACCCTCGCTTCCAAGAGATACCAAGCGATGCCAAGCTACGGCCTGTACTGGTCAGGCCGCTTGACGAGGAGGCGCGTGGTATGACTTGGTTTTGCCTGGAAGCGAAAGCGGGGTAGGTAATTCACGCACTGATAAATGAATCGCATCGGATCGGGCCTGCAGAAATCGATGTCGAAGTGGATCGACTGGATCGACATGGAACCTCTTGTCGCGACTTCTCCCGCTCCCGCTGCGAGACCAACACAAGATTAAGGCAAAACTGGACGCGGACAGACCGGAATCCTCCGATAGCCGTCGTGCATGGAGGACCGACCTATCGGGCGCCGCGGTCGTCACAGAGCGTTCTAGAACGCGCTGGGGGAGATTATATAATATCATGTGGGGCCTGCCGGTCGATGGTCCCAGCTTGAAGCTGCCGCCTCCTGGACGCTGCTGAAGGGAGAAAGAAACATGTACCTTTCGTGCCCTTTCGGCCCCAGGGGGGGCCCTTTGGGCACTGAAGGTGCACTTTCCAGCACCCCCTCCACGTATCGCCTCCCGCCCATTACGCAACGCCCGATGGGGCGATTCTATAGTCCTCATCTGGGGCCTGCCTGTCGATGGCCTGGGCCTAAACCTGGGGCTGCCCCCTCCCATGTGAAGGACTCCGGGTCGCCTTGCCGTCGCCGGCCCGCGCCGAGTCTGGGCGCCTGGGCGCGCGCAGCGACCCAGCGCGGCGCGGGGAGCGAACAAACAGGAATGAATGTCACGGGCCCTCGAGGAATATTTCTCTTCCCTCCTCCTCCTCCTCCTCCCCCTCCTCCTCCCCCTCCCCTCTCCCCTCCCCTCCTCCTCCTCCTCCGCTCCTCCTCCTCCTCCTCCTCCTCCTCCTCCTCCTCCTCCTCCTCCTCCTCCTCCTCCTCCTTCCTCCTCCTCCTCCGCGGAGCGCGTGTCCGGCCCGAGCACGCCCGCGCGGCCGCGTGGCCAGCGGCCTGCGGTCCCACCACCAGGCGCCACACCTCCTCCAGGAAGTGCAGCGCCAGCGCGGTCCCACCGCCAAGCGCCGCCCGGACCAGCACCGCCGCAGTCGCCCCGGCCGCCCCCGCGCCGCCCCCGCGGGCCAGCCTTTGCCCCGCCGCCGGCTGCGCCGGGCGCCCGCCGCGCCGCCGGCAGCGGCCGCCGCACCTGCCCCGCGCGCGCCTGGGCCCCCCGCGGCCTGGGCGGCTTCGGCCGCCGCCCGGCGCCTAGGCCCAGCTCGCCCTCCTGCTCCTCCGAGAGCCGCCCGGCGTGGCCTCCGCGCCCAGCAGCCCGCGCCCGCCCTGCTGGCCGCGCAACGCCCGAGCCGGAGCGCCTCGCCGCCGCGCCGCCGGCCGCGGCCCGGCGCTCCGCGCCAGCCCAGCGGCCCAGGGCCCAGCAGCGCAGCGCCGCCCAGCGCAGCAGCCGCCCGGCGCCCACTTTTCCTCTGCCTCCTCCTGCCTCCCTCCTCCTCCTCCTCCTCCTCCTCCTCCTCCTCCTTCCTCCTATCTATGTGTCCTCCCTCCTCCTCCTCCTCCTCCTCCTCCTCCTCCTCCTCCATCCTCCTCCTCCTCTTCCCCCTCCACCTCCACCTCCCCCTCCTCCTCCTCCTCCTCCTCCTCCTCATCTTCCTCCTCCTTCTCTTCCTCCTGCAATGGTCGCCGGCGGCCCTCAACCAGGAGGCGGCCCGCGCGCTCCAAATTGTTCGTGGAGCCGCGGACGGCGATCCACTTCCAGCCGTCGCAGTTGTAGATGTCGGAAGGGGCCGCGCGACAGATGAAACACAAAGTTGGGCTTGGCATTGGCGTGCTCAGCCCGGCAGATTCTGGGCGCCAACGAGACGAGGCGCTCGCATAACTAGCGACCTTGTTCGATGAAAGTGAGAGCTGTATCTTGCATTGCATGGTCGGACCCTTCTCGTGGTGGGAGCGGTGCCGTCGAAACAAAAAAACTCGGGGGGCCGCGCCATGGGGCAAGCCTCGGTGGTGGGGCGCCTCCGGAGTTTGACTCGAGAACCAGCGGCGTGGACATGGGCCAGCGAGATAGACGCCTCGCGGGGCGGAGCTGCACGTGGGAACTCGAGCCTGGGGGAGGCTTTCCTCCACGCCGCCCGGCTGGAGGTGCCGCGTCACTTGGGCATCGCCAGCGGAGTGGGCCTCGTCGCCATCAGGTCCTTCTGCGACTCGCTCGAATAGGCAGGCCTCGCATCGGTTTCTCTCAAGTTACCCGTCGGTCGGACGAAGAAGAAGAAGGCAGAAACATGAAGTAAGAGAACGTTGAAAATAGCTTGGGTACCCGCCCACCCCCTAGAGAAGACGGAGAAGGTGAAGTCACTCGATCGTTGAAGTAGGAAGGCACTTAAGATAGCCTGGAATCTGGGAGTCCATCAATACCTACTTTAAACGACCGATGGGCAGCCTTCCTGCGGAGGATATCATATTTGGACCTCCTCCAGTGCGTGGCCCCGCGCGCAGTGGGGCAGTTGGGCGTTGCGGCCCTGCGCATCCAGCCCGCGCGCAGCACGGTGCAGGGGCTGATGTCGGGCACTCGCTTCGGCAAAGTGGTGACCCGCTACGTGCTGAAGGCCAGCGTACTGAGCCACAAGATACTCTGGGTTTCTTAGAAAGCGTGGGGGGGTGGCCCGTAGGATCCGTCGTTCGTGCGATCCCACTCAACTGCTTTTTGTTACCTGCTTGCCTCGTTTGTTGTACATGCCACATCTTTCAAGTGTTTGCCACAGCGCTGTCACTGAGATCTCCATGATGACAAACATGTAACTTACCACCGTAGAATACAATTTGTAGACCCCACACATGAGATCAATGTGCAATCCGTTTGCACATTGATTTTGATTGTCATGGTTGCAAGAGGCGGCGCCGTGGGGCCGCGGAAGCTTACCAGGAAAACAAGAAGAACAGACAACAGCAGAACCACGCCTGCACTTCCACATGGGAAGCATAGGAACAACTGAAAAAAGGTAGGGACACCTGTGACTGTCGCTGTTTTCAGTATGCAGATGAACTGCACTTAAGATCCTTCTGTTGTGGCCTCTACGACAGGATGCCTTTTGTGGCGACCTTGCAAACGATTTTGAGTGTGCAGGACCTGCAATGGCCTCCACAATTAGAATCCTTTTTGTAGCAGCCTGTACAAAAGACTTCCTTTTGTGGCGGCCTTACAAGAAGGGTGTGGGGGATCCATACAGACCCCGACAAGTAAACACACTTTGAAACGCCACACAATCAAATTCAATTTGCAAATCCGTGCAATCAAAAACATGTGACAATCACCACAACCAAATTCAAATTACAAATCCCCACCAATGAATTCAATGTGCAATCAGTTTGCACACTGATTTTGATTGTAAGGGATTCTAGAGGCGGCGCCGTGGGGCCGCGGAACCTTACCAGGACAACTGGAACAACATGAAGAAGCTGGTGCTTTCATATGAAGAAACAGGAAAACACTGAAAAACAACAACAAACAATAAAAGCGCAGGAACGCCTGTGATCGTTAGTGTTTGTACTTCTGGCACCAAAAAGCTGTCAGCCACAGCTTTTTTCCAGAGTTTTCCTGTTTGTCCATGTGACAGCACATGCTTCTTCCTGTGCTCCTGTGTTCCTGGTAAGCATCCGCGGCCCCACGGCGCCGCCACTAGGATTCACTGAACTTCAAAACAAGTTGAAACACCACGCCATCAACTGTAATTCGAAAACCCGTACAATCTAAATCAATTTGAAAATCCACGCAATCAACATTCAATATGTAACTCCCCGCAAAGGAAATCAAGGTGTAATCAATTCACACATTGATTTTGATTGTAATGGATTTCCAACAGCGGCGCCGTGGGTCCGCGGAAGCTTAACGCCCGCCTTCTGAGACGTCCTGCCCCCTTATGCTTCCCCACTAGGCGCGCCGCCGACAACTTGCCTCGATGCCTCTCATGCAAGTAGACTGGCAGAGGACCCAACCATGCGCAGTTGTGAACACCTGCGATCGGGAATATATCGTCGCCGGAGGCGCGGGGTGCTGTCTCTTCAAAACGATGGCTCAGCACCAGTAGGAGGAGAAGGAGGAGGAGGAAGAGGAGGGGGAGGGAAAG